CCTGGCCCATCACTTCCAGCTGAACCTCCAGCAGGTGAGCCTGGCCCTTCACTTCCACCTGAACCTCCAGCAGGTGAGCCTGGCCCACCACTTCCAGCTGAACCTCCAGCAGCTGAGCCTGGTGCTTCACTTCCAGCTGAAACTGCAGCAGCTGAACCTGAACCTGCAGCACCTGAGCCCGCATCACCTAGAGGATCAGCTCAAGCCTGTGGCTCTGCAAATCCTCCAGTGGATCCCGCACCAGCTATAGCTGAAGCTGCAACAGCTTCAGCTCCAACTTCTCCAGCAGAGAATGAAGATGCAGAGACCGCAGAGACCACACAAGCCTCTTCACCCAACAATGATGCACAAGATGATGCTAGCACTGTGTCCATGGACAGTGACAAGGCACAGAAGGAGTCAAAGAGCACCAAGAAGCAAAAGGCAAGGGGTAAGGCAAAGCGCAGTGGATCTACACCATCCAGAAGATCAAGGTCCAGGAGGCACAAGAAGAAGAATGCAAAGAGGAGGAGATCATCGACCAGCTCTTCTCCTACCAGGCACAGGACAAGAAGGCACAGAAGGAGGTCAAGCTCCTCAGATCGACCACCCAAAGAGCTGGCCAACCACGTGATGAAGATGTTTTGGCAGCAAATTGGCAAAGGCCTCTGCATGTAGATTAGAGCCGTTTTGCTGTGTTGGTGTCTCAAGCACTGTTGAATATATCTTGATCAATCATTCAACAATCCAAGTAACTATTTAGGTTTGGGTTCATTTGATCACAATACAGATTTCCAAATGTCATGGTTGATTCAATTACATGTGTACTTACTTGAGACCAAGCACAGGTCACTTGAAATTCATTCGAGGTGGAAACACCATTCCGTAATACTGCTTGACAGCAAAGATCACCAGAAAAAATGCGCTGTGCTGTGCCAGGTTACTTGTGTGCATACATGATGAGTTACTTGAGAGTATACTTCCAAGCAAATGTTACTTGAGAGAAGTGAAATGACAAAGTTACTTGAGGTAATACTTGCTAGATTACTTGAGAGAAGTCAGTCATTTGATGGAGGCACAAGTTACTTGACATGCGCTGTCTGAGAGATGATATATTCAATGATTGTTGTTATTGATCATATTTGATTAAACTATCATTGATTTTTGTTCAAAAATCATATGTAGTTTGTGTAGTTTGTATGCAGTTTATATAGTGATATGCACTTTTAATAAAACTACATGTAGTTTAGTCAAAACTACATGTAGTTTTCAAAACTGCATACAAACAGCATATAAACTACATACAAACTACATACAAACTACATAAGATTTTTTGTTATTTTTTTGTTTTTTGTTGTTTTCCAATGATTTCCAGGATTGAATAACCAAATCAATCAAGTAGAATATGATCTCATCTATTTGTATTTCAATCAAGTAAACATGTCATCTCACCCCAAGTAACTTGAGAACTTCTGTCCTTTTGAGTCTTGAATCAAAGTTACTTGTGTGGCCAAAGTTACTGGGTGTGTATTTCACTCAAGTAAACATATCATCTCATCTCAAGTAACTTGATAACTAGTATGTATTTCAATCTTGAACCAAAGTTACTTGTGTGGCCAAAGTTATTGGTATGTATTTTAATCTGTAGCAAATGTTACTTGTGTGTGATTCTCTATATGTATGCATTGCAGCTCTCTCAAGAGTCTAGAAAGCTACTTGTGTGTATTTTCATTTTTGCCACTCATGGCTGAGAAAGAAGAAGACAAGAAGTCACCACCAACACCTGATGAGCACAAGCCTGGAGATGATGCGCCTCATACTCCTGTGAAGAAAGCAAAAGCCGCTAAGGCAAAGGCAAAGGGATCACCAAAGGCAAAGGCTAAGAGTTCTCCCAAGGCAAAAGCTAAGGGATCTCCCAAGCCTAAGAGTGTGATGAAAGCTGTGCTGACGAAGCCTAGCACCGCAAAGTTACCTAAGAAGCCTGCTGAGGAAGAAAAGGTTGACAAGGCTGAGGCTAAAGCAAAGTCAAAGAACAAGAAGAAGAGAAAGGCTGAAGCAGAGAAGAAGAAGAAAGAAGAAGCTGCAGAGAAGAAGAAGAAAGAAGAAGCAGCAGAGAAGAAGAAGAAAGAAGAAGAAGATACTGTGCAGAAGAAGCCTGCTGCAAATGAAAAGAAAGGAGGCAAGTCCTTTGCTGCTTGGAAGAAAGGCATTGAGAATGAGCCTGAGGGAGAGAAAGAAGAGCCAGAGGAACCAGAAGAAGAAACATGCGGCTTTGAAGATGATCCAAGCGTTGACCCAGGAGCCACAGAGACTCGAGACCGATGCAAAATGCAGAAGTTCAACAAGATGTATCAAGCAGGCCAGCTCCAACCATGGATCAAAGAGGAATGGGAGAAGACACTGACAATGAAGAGTGGAAAGCGAGAGAGGCAGTCCCTCATTGTCAACAGCCTTTTTGATAGAAGTGAGGCAGGGAGATTGGTGCTCAATGCCAACAAGGCTGTATTCCAATCAATGAAAGAAAGCTTTGAAGAAAAGACCAACAAGCAGTCCACCAAGTCATTGAGCAAGCGATTGTTTATGGGACGCTTCAATCTCACAGAGGCTGACCTGCTGGCAGGAGTGGCTGAGGGAGAATTTCAAGAGATCCAAACAGACCATGGTCCACGCTACTTATGGATGGAAGAAGCCCAGACCTGTAAGCAGGGAGATAAAACCGCACTGGGTTGGATTCAGCAAAAGGAGGGAGACCAGAAGCAAATGGCCAAGATGAACAAGATGATTGAAGCAATGTCAGCAGGACATTGGTCCCAGGGCTTTGCGCTGCCTACCACCTCAGGTTCCAGTAGCTCTGCAGCACCGCCCTTGGCCATTCAGGACATGGATGCTCCCCTTTCTCCTCAGCAGTGGAAAATGGCCCAGACACAGTTGATTCAGGCCAAGGATGCCATGTCGAAGCTTGAGAAGGATGGTCTCAAGCATTTGCAGGTCATTGGGGACAACCGTGCTGACCCAGTCTTTGAAGTGGTGCATCTTGGCTGCAATATGCTTTAGGGGAGACTTCTTCTAGGGAAAGGTAACTAGAAGAAAGTTACTTGAGAGACTATGTGTGCATTATATCCCTGAACTCATTTTCAAAGTTACTTGAGAGAAGTCATTCATTTGATGGAGACACAAGTTACTTGTGACATGCACTGTCTCAGAGATGATAGTTCAATGATTGATATCGTGTTTGAAAAAGAACACATATTGTTGGCTCATAAAATGGGAATCTTATATATGGTTCATGTTCTCTACTTGTGTTTTTGAATCATTTTGCATAATCTCAGGAAAGATGTGATGACTGATATCAGGAAGGTCCTGGCTGAGATTTCACACGCATACCGGTTCAAAGAGCTTGAGAATGGTCAAGAGCTCACACTCAGCAAGCACAATGCCCTGATGGCAGAGTGTGGCAAGAAGGCTGAGAGCCTGGATGACATTCTGGCTGGCATCAAGGGACAGTTGAATGCTCGAGCCAACCGCGCTAAGAAGTGATTGCCCCTATTGACATGGGCAGCAAGATTCGAGTAAGGCTTGCTTTTGCAGCAACCTGAAGAGAATCAAACCTAAGCTTCGCAGAATATTGGTTGAAAAAATGTCAGCACTTCATGGGTTACATGGGTATATCTGTCAGTTACATGTTATGGATACTGGATACAAATACAAAAGAGTCACATGAGAATATCTGTCAGTTACATGTTTTGGATTTACATGAGAACATCTGTCAGCATACTGCCTTCAACAAGTTAGTTACCTGAGTCCATCAGCACTACAAGTAACTGAAGCTGTTTCTTTTTCAGCACACAAAAAAAGGTACAGCCAGCATGGCTACTGTCAGGTGGTCACCCCTGCCCTCAGCCTCAGCCATCTTCAGGGCCTTCGCTTTCTTGCTTCATCTTTAGCAGCAACAGTTGCCAGCTTAGGCAGGTGATGAGTAGCCATTGCACCCAGTTCTATGCAGGGATCTGTCAAATTATGATCCAAAGCTGTTGGATAGTCACATTATGATTGAATATGTAATAGTGCTTTTACTATGGTTTTTTCTGCAGCAAAGATTGAGATAAGCATATTTAGATGCAATCTCACTTGATGCATTCACAAGTAACATCAAGAAGTAACTTCACAAGTAACTCACAAGTAACTCCAAGGACTTCAGCATTAAGTGCTTAAGAAACATTACATCACACAGTCTCTCACTTCAGTTGCTCCCTGGAGCAGTTTCACCAAGTTTTGAATCAATGCTTCCTGGTGGCCCTCCCACCAAAAAAAGAAAAGGAGGCGTGCAACAAAGGTTGGCCAAAGCAGCGCAAGAACAGGAATGCCAAAGTGCTCTCTATGCCTTGCTCATGACTCACTTTGCAAAAGGGCTCATGAGTGGAGCTTTGATCCACTCCATTGCTAAGGCAGCTCAGCAAGATTTGGAAAATGCTGCCTCAGGCCTCAAGATCACAGAGCTCAAGAAGATTGCTTCATTGGAACATGCAAAGAATTTGGGCCCTATGTTGACTAGGATGATGGCCAAGGAGTCTACTCTCCCAGACCCCCTCCAGGTTCACATGCCTATGAAGGGTAGTGTGGATCACACTCCCTCTGCAGCGATCCTTCTACCACACGAGTACTTTGCAGCTATGTACCAAAAGGATGAAGCCTGGGAAAAATGCATCCTCCCAGATCCAGCCAAACTTCCTGGTTTTTTGAATTCTTTTGAAGGCCACCCATGTATGCAGTCCCATCCATGTAGAAGAAGGAAGGGATGGAAGAGCTTCACCATACCACTGGGATTACACGGTGATGAGGTGCCAGTCTTAGGCACTGGAAAAATCTGGTGTAAGTGTGCACTGGTTTTTTCATGGTTTTCCATCATGGCATCAGCAGGTGGAGCTGGCTTTCAAGACGCACACCTTTACGTTTGGGGCATATTCGAAAAATATGTGGTCCCAGCTGCTGGATCTGCTTTGGGAACAATGGAAGTGTTTTGGACAATTATGAAGTGGTCTTTTTCTGCATTGGCTTCAGGGAAATATCCTTTGGTGGATTGGCAGGGCCAACCATTTGCATTGGGGTCAAAGGAAGCCAGAAGAGCTGGCAAAGACTTGGCTGAAGGCTACTGTGCAATACTTCTTCAGCTGGCAGGGGATCTAGACTACATGAGCAAATGGTTGGAGACACCAAGGGTGACCAACCATGAAAAACCCTGTCCTCTTTGTCGAGCTTCCTTTGCAGGACCCATGTCCTATTTGGACAACCGAAAAGACAGCCCCTGGCAAGCTTCACTGCTTACGCCAAGCAATTACAAAGAGCACTGGAGCCCTAAAGGGCCACTGTACACCATGGCAGGCTTCAGCAACCAATGCTTAGCCATGGATTTCATGCATACAATGCATCTTGGTTGGTTACAACATTTCTTTGGATCTGTCATCCACTTACTTGTGTACTATTTGTTGGATGGTGAGCCTTTGGACAACCTGCAGTTTGTCTACAACTACATCAAGCAACACCAGAAGAAGAATCAGGCAAAGCACCCATACAAGATGAAACTGGACAAGCTCACCATGTTTCAACCAAAAAAAGGATACCCTAAACTGCGAGGAAGGGCAGCAGACATAGCAGGTTTGGCACACTGTCTCCATGACCTTTGGCAAGAACAAATGCAAGCAGGAGATGAGTGGCATGCGCGTGTCAGATTGTTCTTACAATACAATCTTGAGCTCAAGAGAACTTTGGAAACCGTTTCTCCTACATATGGGTTTACTGCAATTCCACAGGCACAATATGACAAAGTTTTTCAGGCAGGGTTGACTATGGCTCAGCTGCACAAACAATTGAGTGAACACTTCGAAGCACAAGACATAAAAAAATTTCAATGTCACATCGAAGACCCACTTTGCACTTCATAGTCTCCAATTTTCCAAGTACATCCACCCATTTTTGCTGTGGTGCTACAAGGGTGAGAGTACCATGCACAGGGCACAGACCCTTTGGAAGAGTTGCCTAGCTGGCACCAAGCATTGGCAAGCTTCCAAAAAAGCAGCCTGGAAAGAGCGCCATTTAATGTGGTTGCAGGGCAAGCTTTGAGTTTCACCTGGCTTCACACATCCCAGCAAAAAGAAAAAGAAATTGCTTGTGAGTTGATGTTGGAAACCAATCTTGTCTGTTACCTGTGAAGACAAACTTCAAAGGTGTCAATTCATTCCAAAGCTACTTGTGTGTGTTACCTGTGAAAACCAACTTCATGTGTAACTTCCAAACCCATGTTTTGTTTGTTTCTGTGTTGTTTTTGTGTTGACTGTTGTGGTTGTTTCTATGTTGTTTATATGTTGTTTCTATGCTGTTTCTATGTTGTTTATATGTTGTTTCTATGCTGTTTCTATGTTGTTTTGACTTTGTTGAAATTTACTATGAAAAATTAGTTTTTCCAAAATTTACTAGGAAACCAACTAATTTTTTCCATTACATTGATTTCATCCAAAAACTAAATTTAGTTGATCTGCAGACTCAGGGTAACTTCTTGCCCGAGATCAGCCATCAGGTTAGCTATACGTAAGCGATGTCCACATCGACTGGTGATGGGAAGTCCAAGGGCCCTCCCTCGATCTGCACCCGCAGCGCTGCTGCAAAGTAAAGTGATCCTCAGGCGTCAGATTGTAGGGGAGACCACTGGCGGCGCCGCTGTCCGCCTTGCCCCTGCTCCTGCTTGCTCAGCCATGCCTGCTCGGAAGGCGACCACACCTGCGGTGGGGAGCATTGTGGGGCCAATGGGACCGTCGGCGGCATAGTTGCCTTCATGAGCCCACTGGTGGAAGGAAAGAAAGGCTGGACAGTTCATCAGGTCCTCTAACAATGGCCATTTGACTCCTTGGAAATCCAACGTGGGGAACTGACTCTTGATTGCCGACATGGCAGACGCTTGACTGAAAGCTTGGGGAACCGCTCACTCAAGTCGGATTCCTGCTTAATAATCGCTCTAGAGGGGGTACTCGAGGACCTGCGGGACTTCCGTGGCCGTCGCAATGATAACATCCACGTGACAAAATGAGTTGGCTGAGCAGTCGCAGACTATGGTCTTGCCTGTGGGCTCATCAAGTGCTCCGTCAAGCTGCAACCTATCCCAATTCATACAGTGATGGGCCCCTCAAGTTAACATAGGTTATAAGTCTACTAACATATGTTATAAGCTAGTGTAACCTATGTTATAACATGCCTTAACTTGGCTAACTTCTGATAGGTCCTTATAGAGTTATAACTAAGATATAAATACTTATGGAACTTGTAAGTTAGTTCGCCTGGTATGGCCCCAGAACTTACAAACAAGTTACAGAACTTACAAAATTTGTTATTGTTAAAGGTTTTAAGAAACCATTGAACACATTTGGAAAAATCAATGTTTTTTAGTTTTCGATCAGTTTTTTAGACAAAAATCATTTGGATTTTAGTTAATCGACTCCAGGCTGGTAGTGCGTATTACATGTTCAAACGCTGTATTGCGCATTGCTATGTACACACATCATGGCATTGCCCTTTTGCAGTATCATATACTGTTTATACGTGTAACAGTTTTCATGTTTCCTTTCGGTTGCTGTTTGTGCATTGTGGATGTGTTCCCTGAATCAGTCGCAGTTGCGGCGGTGGTCCCGCTGCACATATTCCTGCTCCGTTCGTTTTCGCTCGCGGGGTCTTCGTGGATGCTCAATGTATATAGGTGTGATTTTCGCGCCGGTACTTTGCCGCGAAGTAAGTAAGATGGCGGGCGCTGCTGATGCCAACAAAGGTCACCCCCACCAGCCCGCAAAGAGTGGGCGCCTGGCAATGCAGGATTGGTGCTCCTTCCCGCTTTACATCAACAAGAAGACGTGGACGTCAGTTTTGGAGGCTCCTGGGTCCCTGGTTGCCTTAGATGTGGTGCTTCGCCACCTTGTGCAATTGGGCTTGCGAAGTCCATCAGAGCAAACTCAGGCCATGCTGGCCGCACTTTGTGTTCTGCGGGATTTGAGGGATGACTCAAGCAGTTCCAAGCAGATCCCCGACGCGATGAAGCTCAGATCCATCTTCCTGAACGTGAAAGCTCGGGTCCATACATCTATGTTCAAAGCGAAACAGGATGGCGATCAGATGTTGCCTCATGGACACCTAGTTGCACTACCTGCAAATCCAAAGGACGCGCCAGCTGGACTTCTCTCGTTGGCCTTTCCAGACGGCTACGAGAGCGAGTCAGACTCAGCGCCGTTCTCTCTCATGGACCTTGCCAACGTTGCCAGGGAGATCTCTCTACGCTCGACCAACAGCAAGGTGGTGAATAACAAGGGTCCTCAACTGCATTCCCCGGAGGCGTTCTGGGCATCTATGCAGTCTGCGTGGATGATGATGATGCAGCAGTGGGGCAAGCCACCTTCAGAGGAGTGCAGGCTGACCATGACTAGGCAACCAGGTAAAGCTTTGGGCGCCTTGCTTGACAGAGCTGAGGGCAAGGGTACTACTCAGCAACCCCAGCTTGCTCT